AAGAGGGGGGTTTCACAGTGAGAGCAACTAAACCTCCAGCTTGTGTTGTACAAAGCCACTTGGCTTAGTAAACTCTTCTCCCCCAAGGTCAAAGGACATTGAAAGGATGTAAGGAATGTGCACATAGCAACACATTTAGGGCTGGTTCATGATGCACATGCAGAAATGCAGATTGTAACGCAAATGTATTTCCATTCTTTTTTACATACACTAACACACAGGTCATCTTTTTTTTTTTATGTGTTTGTATGAAAGATTGCATTGAAGTTAAAGTGGTTCTAAAGGCATAAGGTTTTTAACCTTAATACATTTTCTGCATTAAAAAAACTTCCATGGTCAGCTCCCTGCTTAAATACTTACCTGGCCCCTCTTTCGATTGAGCGCTATGCCCATCTGCAGAAGCACTACTCCCTTTCTGTATTCTCAGGACACAGAGGCAGCAGCGGGAACCATTGGCTCCTGCTGCTCTTCAATCAAATTGAGCAGGGGGTAGGGCTGAGCCTTGCTGTGTGTCTATGGATGTGCCTTACCCTGCTCCGGAGCATGCCTGCAGAGAGGAGGTAAGGGGCTGCCCTGTGCAATATCATTGCACAGAGCAGGTAAGTTTAACATGTTTTGTTTTTTTGTTTTTTTTTTATTCAATTAAAATAAATAAAGTATGCCTTTACCACCTCTTAGAGAAAAAAAGGTCTACAAAAAGATAGTGCTGGGACTTTTTCTTTGACTGTGCTTTGTTTTTTGGTCTGAACAGCCTATATAGATATCAATTAATTTTTAGTTCTCCCTACTATTATCTGTTTAAAAAAAAAAATGAAATGAGCAAGCCTGTGTAAAGGTAGCACAAAGCAGTCTGAAGAAACAATGTTGTATTGTTTTAGTTTATATAAAAAAATTATGTAAGAAATAATTTGTATGAATGTTTGTTCATGGATGACCATTAATTCCATATTCCATAGAGTTGGAATTTTTCTGCTAACAGTTTTTTCATCTTTATGTACACCTGCTATAGTTGACAGGCATAGAGAGAGACAATTTTGCCTCTTTTTGATGTGGTTCATGTCACCTTAAAAAAAATAAAACTAGCTGTCATTTCTAATCACACTGTTCCTAATTTCATAAAACAATAGTGTGGCGCTAAAATAAAATGTATATGCAATAAAATAGTGCAATGCAAAATATAGCAAACTCTTATGTGTCACCACAAATTGAAAAAATAAAGGAATCCAAATTGAAGCCAAAAACTGTCAATTCAGTGGTTCTTTGATTATGAGGGAAATGACAGATGTGGATGTCAAACGCCACCAAGACTTAATGATGAACCACACAACACCTCGGTGTACAACAAAGGGATGATTACCAGAATCATATTACCCCCAAGTAAGAGTGGTCAACCTGCACTTGTATATCAATCCAAGATAACCAGCTTTCCTCAAAACCACATGTCAAACAATGGTACGGCTGCGTTATATCAGATCACTGTGCATATATACTCAGTTGGACATACAGTAGTATTATGAAAAAGACAAGCTCTCATAGTGTATTCCTGATTAAAACACCAATTTAATGTTGTAAGTGCACGTACAATGAAAATATGACAATCAGGTACTTCATATGATAAAAAATGGCTCATATTCCAAAATTCAAGATGCTGCAGCGGGATTACGTATGCGTAGTGGCATGTGTTCCGTCTCTGCCCTACTAGTTTTCTCAAATATTGACATCATCAGAAGCAATTTGGTTTTCTATAGATACCCTAGAAATTCAAAACCTTTTCCAGCCTTGGAAACTGTTGATAAACTATTTACACCTTCCAAACATTTTGTAACCCAGTATCCATTTTAGAAGTCCTTTTATTAAGATTAATTCATCTTAACCCTTGATCCTTCATTGTCAATATTTAAAAAAGTGCTGACGATTCCTACAGGAGATGCAGCAGTGTTTAAAGAAGAGATCAAACATTAGGGGCATAGATTACACTCATAAGTTTCCATTCAGGCTGATCCCTTATTTGTAGAGCTCTTAGAGCTACCCTACACTGCTGAGTAGATGGGTTAGTGAATATCTCCTGTCAGTGAACATGAGGAGAACCCTTTGGTTGAAAAGTTGGTGTGTGGAGTAGGAATGTAAAAAGCTACTTATGTACATGCCCTTCAAGGGTCAATGTTACTTCATGGCTGCATTGGACATCCTGATCAAGAATGTCACTGGTGGCCTAGGCCTTCCTCCCCCACACCTGATGTCAAGAAGAGTTCCTTTTTGTTACTTCCAGGCTTCTACATCTAAGGCCAAACCCAAGGCAACAGCCCTATTTAACCACTTGACAACCAGGCTATAGCCGAATGACGGCTACAGCGTGGTTGTCCAGTTCTGGGAGGGCATCATATGACATCCTCCCAGAATGCGCACCCCCGGCGATCTCCGTGATCGCTGTGTCCTATGGACACAGCTGATCCCATGACAAGATAAAAGGGCAATCACAGTGGCCTTTTACCACATGATCAGCTGTGTCCAATGACACAGCTGATCACAAAGTAAATATAGTTTGCAGGTTATCTGCAGCACTTTCCTCACGCTGCCACAGTGTGAGGAAATCTCCACCAGGTACGTGATTGTCAGCACTGTTCTAAAATGCCCGCACCTCAGTATATGTGCAGAGTAATCTCTCAAAAGCTCAAGAAATGCAATGTTAGATGGTCGCTGTTGTTGATTTTAACATTGCTGAAATTTTTTTTTTTTTTGTACTTTAAAAGATACATTTGAGAAATATGTTTTATAACTCATGTTCTCCTGTTTGCAAAACAAATCATGTAAAAGTGTAAATTCTGACATGTCAAGATATGAAAAATTATGGATACCAGTATCAGTATAGTTTCATATCTTGACGTGTCCGATTTTAGGTTGTAAGTTGCAAATTAGCTTTCAAGGTTTGCGTAAAATCTGTATATTGCTTCTTCGTTGAAAGATATATGCCAGGCCTTCCACTATGTATGCCAGGCCTTCCACTAGTGTGTTTCCAACAAATTTCATTGTGTCAACCCATTCCTCACTAGTCGTTCTATCTACACCTGGGCAGAAATAAATGAGAAATACCAAGCCCCTCATGCTGAACTTTTCCGATTCCTACAAATCAAACATTGGTTGACTTCTGTGCTCGCTGATAAAGATCCAGCGACCCAACTGTCCTTGTCCGAACATATCTGTCATTGGACGCCCTTCTCCCCCAAACGTATATCTATTCTTTATTCACAGTTACTGTAAACTTCTATATTCATTATTAGCCTGTCCCTTCCCAAGGGACCCGTGACATGTCCTTCGTCACCTGAAACCCCTGGGCCTCATCAAATACCAATTTAAACTGGCTACCTACAGTATGTACTACTAGCGTCAAAACAAACCATAGCGAAAGATTGGATACAACAGTTCATACCTTTTACAGACGTTCACCGCCACCTAGGTTTCTTTCATTAATGAAAAGCTCTCCAGCATTCCTTTGGATACCCATGAGAAATTTCTTAAAGCGGAGTTCCACTCACTCTGTAAAAAAATAAAAGGCAGCAGCTACAAAAACTGTAGCTGCTGACTTTTAAAAAACAGCCACTCACCTGTCCCACGATCCAGCATTGCCCCTCCCGCAGCCCGTTTCACTGGCCGACTTGTATTTCAGGTGCCAGCATCTTCAGTGTGGGCACCCGGCTGTGGCAGCTTGCAGCTTCACAGCCGGGTGCTCACTGCGCATGCGCGAGTAGAGCTGTGCTTCCTGAATGGCCCCGTCGTCTTCTGGGACCTGTCGTGTCCCACAATACTTCAGGGAGGGAGGGTAGGAGGACAACTTCCATTTCTGATTTCCTAGGTGATCGCAGCAGAAGTGGGAGCAGGTACCTGTCAAATTTGGGTACCCGGGATGACCCTCTCGCTCCCCAAAGGTGCCACTCCTTAATGGGGAGCGGGGGGACCAATCGTTGAAGCGGAACTTCCCCTTTTGGGTGGAACACTTCTTTAAAATATGGACTCCTTGGGTCCAACATGTCCTTCCTTCTATATCAACAGACAGTTTCACATTGCTGTAATTACAAAGACCCTACAACCTGGGTTTGAGCGCTCTTGACGTCCTCCCTTCAGTTTCTTCTCGCTCTTTTACTCCCCCCCCCCCCCTCCTTTATTGGCTCTCCAGCAGGAATGATTTGCAGTTTGTTCTTATGTACTCCTTTGTTTGATTCTATGCTCTATGCATTTTATACACTGATATCTCTCTCACCAGCGCCTGATCCCATGCTATAGGCATATGGATCCTCTTCTGTTTTCCACACTGATTCATTGTTATGACATGGTTAATGTACTTCTTGACAGACCTTCTATTTTGTCACTTGTTATGGTTTTGCTATTATACATGACCACTTTTGTCATAATTCTACTTGTACAAACGATAGTGGTTGCAATTGTATCTTCTAAAAACAAAATTTTTCAATAAAAATCTATTGAAAGGAAAAACGTGTGCCAGTTCTTACAGCTTACCTCTTCATCAACAGTGACTATCTTACATTTCAATATAGTGAACACGCACGCTTGCAGAAAATTGTTAAAACAGAAAATGTTTGCATTACTGTATCTTAGAGTAAAACGAATCTTTAATGCTTAGTTATGTACTTGTATTTTATATTGGAATCTACAATAAAATAGTGCCTGGCTTGTGTATTTGTCAGTATCACATCAGTCTGCTCAGTTGAACTGATGTTTTTGCCAGTGAAATACAGTAGGTGTAAGGTCACAGTCTTTTCCACTGAGTGAACTTTAACCTAATTGGCCTCAGTGTTATTGTAACATGCTGGAGGAAGAGAACCATGATACGTGACTAGTGCCTTGTTTGTCACTACCAGCTGACTATGAGGAAGTGCTATAATTGGCCAGTGACGCCAACACACCTCCCTCCCCCCTGAACCAGCCCCCAACCCTCCCTTCTTCCATTCATTGCATAGGCAGCAGCCTCTGCAGATGGAGAAGCAATGGCAGAGACACAGTCCGCAAAGCATAGGGACGCACTGTGCCTTTTTGATGTGGATGGAACGTTAACCCCTGCCAGAAAGGTACGTGAAAACTCTGCGTAATGTTTCATTGAACATTTTATTCTTTCATTATCCTATATGTGTTTACTATACATATTTACATTCAAGGTTAAAGCATCATGCATAAACTTCAATTCAAGCGTATTACTTATGTCTGCAGAAGTATCAGAGTATTGTTTGCACTTAAAGTGATATCATGTAATTGTTTCCTGAAATTAAGGAAAATGCAGGCTTTCAAGGCACATGTGGGTTTAAAGTGACAACGATACCTGTATCTCCCCAAAATAATCTTTACACGTCCCCTACTTAATGCCCCTGTAACCTACTTTTCATGAAACTGTTTCTTATCAATTTATCTTGCCTCTTAGTAATGTCCTTTGTGAGATCCCAGTCCTATCCATTTCCCTCTCGCTTTCATTTGTTTGGAATGAGCATTACATGTCAGTCTTATGCACTGCTCTATGCCCACTACAAATCCCATAGTCTCTCCAGGCCATCTCCAGTTAGAGACGCTGGCTATGTTCCAACATACAGTGCGACCATGAAGAATGAACGTAGCCACCCTCTAACTGGAAGTCGAATCATAGCTGCAAAAAATAGAAGTTTGCAGATTTAGAATGTAATATTTTTTTTTGCATTTCAATAAGTTTGTTTACTTTCAAGGAAATATAACAACAAAACACCCATGTAGGGGCTTAAGGCAGAAGATACAATATACATGGCCAGCACAGTGGCTAAATGGTTAGCACTTCCGCCTGGCAGTACTAGGGTTGTTGGTTCGAATCCCAGCCACGGCAACCACCTGCTTGAAGTTTGCATGTTCTCCCTGTGCCTGTGTGGGTTTCCTCTGGGTACTCCAGTTTCCTCCCACACTCCAAAGACATGCTTGTGGGTTAATTGGATCCTGTCTAAATTGGCCCTAATCTGTATGGATGTAAGTTAGGGACCTTAGGTTGTACTCCCCTTGAGGTTTAGGGACTGATGTGAATGTACAATATATACATAAAGCGCTGCGAAAATTGACGGTACTATACAAGCACCTGTAATAGATATAGGTGGTAAAATATAGTCAACAAGGCAGATTGCATGGGCTTTAGGATAGAACAGAGATATCCACTTTTGCAAAATTACAGCCCAGGGGACCACTTAAAAGTAAAGGAAGAGATGCTCCTGCGCTTAGGGATGGATTCAGTAATAATTAGGACCACATCACCAATGTCCTGGAATATGCACGCCTTGCTGCCCTCAAGAGACCGGGGGAGTCCAAATGTACTGAATAAAGAAAACAAACCGGGCGCACCAGCCCAGTGCATTACCTTAAAAAATGTATTTAATAAAAGATATAAGAAGGTATTGTACTCACAAAATGACAATACAGTCAAAGGCACATTATAATGGAAGAGCTCTGTCCAATCCGCACTACCTGTCTGTCCTCATTGGGAACTATGGACTTCCAACTGGCTAATGCGTTTCGAGGACTTGCCTCTTCCTCAGGGCCACCCAATAGTGACAACTAGTTTTGCCCCAGAGCATACAGATAGAGTGGTTTGCAGGGTTTGCATAAAGGGGAAGAACTACTGAAAGTTAGAAAGAAGAAAAGGGGAGTAAGGGTATGTCCCCCATAGACTCGGGTCAAGTTATATAAGCGAAGAAGATTACAAAGCTCCCAAACTGGAAGAGTTTAAAGAAGGTAGTGCATTACGGAATTTTAGTTGCGAGTCATTGATTGCTTGACAGTTTCTCATTGATTAACATGTAATGGTCTTTAACAGCTTGAAAAGGGACCAGGGTTTTTTTTTGGCCCGTGCTATCAATTGCTTAGCTACCAGAAGAAGGTATATATATTGTGTTTTTGGGAGTAAAGGCCAGGGGTGAGCTGGTGAGGTAGGGCTACTCGCACATCCCCAGGGATTATTAAATAAAACAAGAATTTTTAATATTTTCAACCAGAGTTTTGTTTTGTTTTTCTTTTTGGATTTAGATAGAGTGGTGAGGGGTTCGAACCCCTCTCAGGTTTTTATTTCTGTCTATGTAGGGAGATTAATTTATTTTATTTGGCCTTTATGACCACTGTTTTTGAGATTGAAAACAATTTTGTATCGGAAGTAAAGGGTTAATGTTCCATTAGGGATACTTGAGGGCATTTCCCTCCCTTTGGATTTTCTCTTATTTTCTGTTGTGGATACAGAACACAAATTGCAGGGAAATCCTGTAGCTCCTGAACAGGACATAGATGGCATTTAAAAAAAAAAAAATACCTGACAGAGTTTTAAAGGCTGCACTCCGGGAAACCTTAAAACCCTCCCAGGCACTGGGGCTGTGCCTGCACTACAATGGTTAGCTGCTTGTTTATGTCTAGAGCAGGGGTCTCCAAACTATGGTCCTCCAGCTGTTGAAGTCCCATCATGCCTCTGGGAGAATTGCCTGTGGCTGTCAAGAGTCTAGCAAGGCCTCATGGGACTTGCATTTCCTCAACACCTGGAGGGCCATAGTTTGGAGACCCCTGGTCTAGAGGATAGTGGTGGACTGTTCTCAGCATCCTCATGTTCAAGGTAGGGCTATGGTCACAGCATCGGTCTTGATGATGTCTAAGGACACTAGACTGCCAGACCATAGGGGAGAAGAGGCTGTGGGGACCTGTCTAGCAGTGCAGGATAGGGTAGTAAAAGTACTTTACCAAGTTCCCTGAACATAAACAAGTGGTCTGGAGTTCAGCTTTACCCCTTCCTGACATTGTAAAGCATTGTGTATCATAATAAATATATTTCATTACTTTTTCGTAAAATCCTATTTTTACCTTTTTACATCCTTTTTCATCTTAGTACTGCTGATCTTCTGCAGCTTCTTCCTTTTCATTAACTTCATGTCTACATGCATTCACAACAGCAACAGCTGCACATCATTTCTCTGACCCAGATTCCTGATAGCGACAACCAAGTCTGTGCAATTGTATAACGACTGCGTATAGTGTGCATCGGAATGGTGACAAACGCAAGGGAATGGTCAGAAGACCGTTGTCACCATATAAAAGTAAAAGCAGGAACAAGGACCTTTATGACACCATCCTAAGTATTATATTATTAAAAGCCCCAGATTTAAAAAGACTGAAAACAATTGTTGAAAAGATGTTAAAGTGTATCTAAACCCAAGAAAATAATTTAATATATTGCAGTTTGCCAGTCCTTTTAATGTGGTGGCTGCTTCCGTTTTCTTTTCTGCAAGGTTATTTATTTATTTTTGCACAGTGATCCTGCCACTAACACAATTTTCTGACCTAGGGTGACAGTGGTCACTCACTATACTTAAGGAAGTAGCATTGGCACCCTAAGTCAGGAAGTATGTTAGGACTAGGGAACACCTCTCCAAAACATTTGGGGCTGGGGTTCTGTAGTTTACAGAGAGCAGAAAACAATGCTATCTGATAACATTCAGCAGTGATAGAGGGCCCAGGACCAGGGGCGGACTGACCATTCGAGCTCTCGGGCACTGCCCAGGGTCAGTAGGGGGCCCCATGAAATGCCCCTGGTACCTTTTTATAGGCTTTTTTTTGGTGTGCTTTGAGTGTGGACAAGGAAACGGGCCCCATGAGTTGCCAGTCTGCCCCTGCCCAGGACATAATCCACTCACAATATTTCACTCACAAAAATGCTTTCAATTATATATTTGCATATAAAGTTGAGGTTACACAGACCTTTCTCCGGGTTTTCAAATTGAAGATCTTCAGATTTTCAAATTGTACTTTGAGATCAGTACATTCTGATCTATCTTCCTCCTCTGTAGCTGTTACCTTAGTTTCCCTAACTTATAGGTGCAAAGGACATTCTGGTGCTTTTCATGGCCCCATATTGGCCCAGTTGAATCTGATACAATCACCTTCTCTAGCTAATTGTTAGGGTTTACATACACATGAATATGTCAAAGCTGACATGCAACTTTAGCAATCGGGCCTACATCTACTTACAGCAGTATTAAACCCAAAAGCAAACATTTAGGCTACATTCACACTGCTCCATCACAATAACACGGTAAAAACGCATATTCATTTCCGATGCATTTTTCACCTGTGTAAAAAAGAATGTGCCACCGCAGCTGCATTTTTGATGTTTTTTTTTTTTTTTTTATTCATTTCAATGAGGAGGTGCGTTTTTGTTGCATTTTTTTTACTGCACCAAAATTGCATCAAGCAGGACTTTTAAAAAAGGCAACTGACTGGTGTGAAGAGCTCCATAGGGTTTAAAGGTCATTAATTTTTCTTCCACTTTTGGTAAGGTAAAAATAAAACAAAAACTGATCAATGTGAAAGCTGACAGATTATACTGCAGCTTACCAATTCTTTGATGCAATGGCTGCATTAGCTTACTTTTTTAGGCTTTCTTTTTCTTTTTGTTCACCTGGTGATCTAGTTAGGATGTCTGTTGTTTTTCAACAGAGCAAGCTGTGCTGCACATGTAGAAAACCATTTAATACAAACAGGGGTGCTTACAAGGTTCAGCTTCTATTTATTTATGTAAAACCTTTATCCCAAAAAGATCAAAACTGTAGCTGCAACTGCTTAAAAAATGTGAGCTGAAGTTTGGCTTTAAACTTTTAGTCCATCTAACGTTACCCTCCCCCAAACTGACAATGTTGCTGTCCAAAAGTGTCTCTGTTCATCCAGAGTGTGGGTACTCTAATACAGGAGGTGTGTTAGTGGGCCAATCACCAGATAAAGTCAGGGGAAATAAAAACTTAAAAATAAACTAATACAGCCAACACATCTAATGATTAGTAAGCTGCAATATCTTTCATTTTTTGTTTTAGTTTTATTACCACTTTAAATCTGAAGTCTTTTCAGATATCCAGATATTGGGTACAATTCACTAAAGCTTATCGCATGAGTTAAGTCAGGCACATGACCACACATCGCATGCGATACTGAAAATGTCAATTCACTATTGCTAGTATGCGGTATTTACCAAAAATAGCAAAAACACTCGGTAAATACCGTATAAAAAAGACCTTAAAGTCAAATCACACAAGAA